GACAGTGTCTTTACCTACTGAGCCATCTTACTGGCCTCTGGCTTTGCTGCTGCTGCTTTTTTTTTTTTTTTTTTTTTTTTTTTTTTTAAGATAATTTTGGTGCCAGGTGGAAGATATTTGTGGTTGGTGAACAGTTCCCGAAGGCAAAGACACAGGTCTGGATTGCTAGACTAGGTAGTTTGGCCATGCTGAGAAATGGACTTAAGAAAAACAGTTGGGGGAGGGGGTGGGCTGGAGATGGCCCAGTGATTTAGAACACTTACTGCTATTGCAGAGGACCCAGGTTTGAGTCCCAGCACTCACAGTAGCTCACAACTATCATAAAACTAATTCCAGAGGTTCTGAGGCCCTCTTCCTACATCTGTGGGCAGTGCATGAATGCATGCGCATACACACACACTCTCTCTCACACACACACACACACACACACATACACACACACACAAAAGCAAAACAGTTATACACATAAAATAAAAATAGAAAGAAAACTTGGGACTGAAAGTATAAGTCAATGGTAGAACATTAGCACAAGCATGACCCTGAGTTCGGTTCCCAGCTCTTGAACAGAAAGGAAAGAAAAGCAAAACAGCTTTCCTTTGCTTTTTTGTGTGTTTGTTTTAGGGAGAACAGAGACTCAGGTAGTCCAGTCTGGCCATGTAGCTAACACTGGCTCACACCCTTGGCCTCCACCTCCCAGTCTCTGGTCTTACAGGCACCACGCCTGGCTTTCTTCCTCTCAGATGTCTTTTCCTTTATGGGTGTGCATATGTGCACACATGCATGCAGGTACCAGAAGAGCGTGTCAGACCCCCTGACATGGGGCTAGGAGTGGAACTCTGCTCATCGCTGAACATCTCTCCAGCAAACTCGACACAAGATCTCACTGTGTTACCCAGGCTGTTCTTGAACTTGTGATCCTCCTGCCTTAGGCTCTAAAGTGCTGGTATTACAGGAATACAGTATTATACCTGGTTCTTTTTTACACATTTGGAAAAATATTAATGTTCCTAGGCAACTATCTCCTACTTTTTTTTTTAAATAGGTGATTTTTTTCCCCTAAGTAATGTCACTGATTCTTTTCTGACTTTGTATGTTATCTGTAATAATTTTCAAATTTCCAGGCAAGATCAATATTTCTGCCAGTCTACTGGCCATTCCCACATTTATTCCAACTTATCTAAAGTGGCCTTCTTCCCTGTCATATCTCACATGTCTTCTGTTTAGTCCACTTAGCTACCGGTATTGCTTTCCAGTGCCTCCAGCTCAGGTCCTTGTTCTTTCAACACCGGTATTAGCAGCTTGATGGGAAGGGCTGACAAAGCTGTGTGAAGGGCGCTGAAGCCTGTGGGACTAGTGGGGGAAGGGATGCCTCCTGAGTCCTGTTTGGAACACTTGAAAAGAACCGGCTTGTCAGATGAGTCTTGATTTAGCCGTGATTTTTCAAGGGTTCAATGGAGCACCAATTTTGTTGGCTATTTCACAAGTTCTAGGGACTGGTGGGATATCTTGGTGGCTCAGTGATGGAACACTTGCCTAGAGGCTCTGGGTTTGGTGTTCAGCACCACACACACATACAGAAACTGGAGTGAAATATTTGGGAGACACTAGGCTAAACAAATGTAACCAGCTTTCATAATTTAGGGCATTACAAACTATAACAGGCCGAACCCATGAAGACTTGCACACTTACCAAAAGGCATCTAATTGGACTTCGATTCCTTTAGGAAACAAAGATTTGTTTCATTTTATTTGTGTATATGTGTTTAAGACTGAGCATATGCCACATGTGGTGGTGCCTATGGAGGCGAGAAGAAGGTGTTGGATAGTCTGGAACTGGATTTAACAGGTGGAAACTTCGGTCCTTTGGAAGAGCAGCAAGCTCTCTTAACCACTGAGCCATTGCGCTCGCCCCTGGACTATGTCCTTTTGAAGCACTCTGAACCCCCTAACCCTTGACATACTAGGCCAGTGCTCTACTACTGAGCTACGTCCCTAGCCTTCTCACATAATTTTAAGTAGACCCCTCAGACTTTTCTTTTTTGAGTTAGGGTCTCACTGTGTAGCCATGGCTGGTCTGGAACTTAGAGATCCATCTGCCTCTGCCTCCTAAGTGCTGGGATGAAAGACGGGCGCCACCATGCTTGGCCAGACCTCTATAACTTTTCGTCTTAAGCCTTTAAACGTATTAAAAACCAAATGCAAGGTTAGAGCAGTGGTTTAGTGTTAAGAGCACTGGCCACTCTTCCTGAGGACCAGGTTTGGTTCACAGCACCCACGTGGTGACTTCAAACTGTCTATACTGCCAGGTGCTGGGGACCCAGTGCCCTATCTTGGCCTCTTCCAGCACCAGGCATACATGGTGTACATAGACAGACATGCAGGCAAAGCACCCATTCACATACTTTTTGGGGTTTTTTTGTTTTGTTTTTTGCTTTTTCAAGACAGGGTTTCTCTGTATAACAGCCCTGGCTGTTCTGGAACTCACTCTGTAGGCCAGGCTGGCCTCGAACTCACAGAGATCTGCCTGGCTCTGCCTCCCCAGTGCTGGGATTAAAGGCATGCACCACCACCATCCAGCTCACATACTTTTTTTAATTAAATATTAATGCATTTATTTAGGCCAGTTGTATACTGAATTACTATAATTCACCTTTAAGTGAAAAATGAAATAAAATTATATGTAACAGCCTTATACATGCTACATGCTTAATATAAATCAGCTGTTTTAGAAAGTGAAATGGTTAAAAATGCTATTTATAGTTGCAAGGAATTTAACTTCCAGAGAATTATAAATATTAACATTTAAAAATAAAATGGTTACATCACTTTTTAAATGGAGCCAGTAAATGTCTTAGCAGCATCAGCATACTATCTTTTAATAACTATTTGGAGAATGCTTTTCTTTAAACAAAATTCTGAAGCTGGCTCTGGTGACACACGCCTTTAGTCCCAGCACCTGGGAGGCAGAGGCAGGCAGATCTCTGTGAGTTTGAGGCCAGCCTGGTCTACACAGTGAGTTCCAGGACAGCCAGAGCTACACAGAGAAACCTGTCTCAAAAAAACAAAAACAAAACAACAACAACAAAAACTTTGAATCATTACTTTTTCTCTTAGAACTTACATTCTTTTATATTTTACACTGACTCCACATATGTATTTTGATTTTAACATAATGTCTATAAAAATCTTTTTATTGATCACTCTTCCATATTTCTCTGTGACAAAAATAAATGTATAAATTGAACTTCAGACTTTCATTGTTTCCCTTCAGCGTGTGTATGGTACAGGGGATTGAACCCAGAGTTTCTTGTGGATTCTACTTCTAAACCTGTGCCCCAAGCTTTTTTGTTTTTTTTTGTTTTGTTTGAGACAGGGTTTCTCTCTATAACAGCTCTGACTGTCCTGGAACTCTTTGTAGACCAGGCTGACCTTGAAATCATTGAGATCCTCCTGCCTCTGCCTCCCAAGTGCTGAAATTAAAGCACTGCCACCACCTGGCTAGCCTTTTTGCTTGTTTGTTTGTTTGTTTGTTTTTTAACAATAAATTAAAAAGAAGTTGGTTCCTAGAAAAGAATACATGTGCAGAATCTAGGGCTTTTTTTTTATGATTTATTCACTTGTACTCCATGCACATTGGGTTTTGCCTGCATGTATGTATGTATGTATGTATGTATGTATGAATGAATGAAGGATCCCCTGGAACTGGAGCCACACACAGCTGTGCACTGCCATGTGGGTGCTGGGAACTGAACCCAGGTCCTTCGGAAGAGCAGCAGCACTCCTAGTCTCCAGCCCCACAATTTGATTTTAAATAAAACAGCCTCTGGAAGGAACAGTGAGAGGGAGAGAAGTGAGAGGTAAAGGGGGCAGTGACTATGGTCAGACTAGATTGTAGGCATACATGACTGTCACGATAACAGATTATTTTGTTCAAATGATGAATACTAATTATTGAGGAATAAAAGTGTGGACATGTGTGTCTGTGTACCACATCTGTTTCTTGAGTTGCATTATAATGATTTAGTATGCAGAGAACAACCAGTGCATCATATATTTGTTTTAGACAGGTTTCTCTATGTAGACCTGGCTGTCCTGGATCTCCCTGTGTAGTCCAGCCTGGTTCAAAATTCAGAGAGATGCACCTGCTTCTGCCTCCCAAGTGTTGGGATCAAAGGTGTGCACCACCACCTGGCTAAAACAGAAGATGTTTTTTTTTTTCTTTTTTTTTTTTTTTAACCAAGACAGGGTTTCACTGTGTTACACATACTGTTAATAGCATCAGAAAATAGCTCACTGACTCTGCTGTTCTGCATACTCAGTGCAATTCCGTCCATGCCTCCCATGTCACGAAAGAAGTGCTGGGATTATGATGCACGCCACCTCGTCCGTTTGTCTTACCTGGGTTCTGGAGGCTGCACTCGGTGATGAGGCTGGCACAACCAGCGCCTTCACCTACTGTGCCATCTTGCCCACCCTGGAATATTGTTTTTACAAAAATTCAGATTTTTTTTTGTGTGTGTGTGTATGTGTACCATGTATGTGGCTGGTGTCAGAAAAGGGTGTCAGACCCCTAGGACTAGAGTTACAGACAATTGTGACCCACCATGTGGGTGCTGGGGAAAAAAATTGGGGTCCACTGAAAGAACAACCTGTGCTTTTAACCATTGAGCCATCTTTCCAGCCCCTGGACTATCACTTTGTTTTGTTTTGAGACAGGGTTTCTTTGTGTAGCCTTGGCTGTCCTAGAACTAGTTCTGTAGACCAAGCTGGCCTGGAACTCAGAGATCTACCTGCCTCTGCCTCCCAGAGTGCCTAGGGGAATATTACTTTTAAAAGAAGGAAATCCTGAGTTCGAGGCTGCCGGCTGCGCTGTCCGGTTGTTGGGCTCCTGCTTCTCGGCCCCGTGGCCCGCTCTCCCTGGCGCGCCGCCCCTAGGAAGCTCAGACCGCTGTGGTTGGCGGCTGCCGGCCCTTCGGTGCTCCAGCGCTAGGCATCCAGGCCCAGTGACCGTCGGTAGCGTAGGTAGGCACCGCGAGCCGAGCCTCCCGGCGGCCCGGGAGCGGCGAAAGAGCGAGTCCGAGAGGTTCCTGGGGGCAGGTGGCACCGCGAAGATGGTCGCCAAGCAGAGGATCCGTATGGCCAACGAGAAGCACAGCAAGAACATCACTCAGCACGGCAACGTTGCCAAGACCTCGAGAAATGCCCCCGAAGAGAAAGCGTCGGTAGGACCCTGGTTATTGGCCCTCTTCATTTTTGTTGTTTGTGGCTCTGCAATTTTCCAGATTATTCAAAGTATCAGGATGGGCATGTGAAGTGACTGACCTTAAGATGTTTCCATTCTCCTGTGAATTTTAGCTTGAACTCATTCCTGATGTTTGATGCCCTAGTTTAAAACAATTCAGTAAATCATCCTGCCTCAGGATGACGTTTTCATATCATCCTTCATGTGGCATTCCAAGGTTTCATCAAGAATCATTCCAGGTTTTCTAGTCCATACCACAGTGCCTTGCAAAAGCACCACATGAATAAAGCAATAAAATTTGATTATTAAGTTAAAAAAAAAAAAAAAAAGAAGGAAATCCTGTCTTTTTAAGTGTGTGTGTATGTGCAGACCAGAGGTCTGGTACCAGATGCCTTTCTGGGTCACTTTTCACTAGTTTTGTTTGTTTGTTTTTGTTTTGTTTGTTTTGTTTTTTGTTTTTCGAGACAGGGTTTCTCTGTGTAGCTTTGGTGTCTGTCCTGGATCTCACTCTGTAGACCAGGCTGACCTCGAACTCACAGAGATTCGCCCACCTCTGCCTCCCAAATGCTGGGATTAAAGGTGTGTGCCACCACAGCCCAGGTCCACTGTATTTTTTGAACAGAGTCTCTCACTGATTCCCACACTCACCAGTTGGCTAGCCTGGCTGTCTGGCAAGCTCTTGGGGTCCACCTATCTTTGTTTCCATTCCCCACTCTTAATCCCATGCCCAGGTGCGTGTGCGTGTAGTTGCTGGTAATCCAAACTCAGCTCAAGTTTACACCAAAGGCACTGTACTGACTGAGCCATCTCCTCGCCCCAGTCTTTTCATTTTGAACATGATGAACCCAGAGGCTAGTCTAAATGAAACCAGTCACAAAAAGACAAACACTACATCATTCCACTTGTATGAGATACTAAAAAGAATTCAAGTGGAAGTTGGCTCCTGGGTCTGAGGGAGTGTACAAAAGAGAATGTCCGGTGGATGTTGACTTTTAGGGCTTTGTGGTGGCTTTGTTCTTAGTGTTGAAGGTTGAACCCAGGCCTCGTCATGCTAAGCAGATGCTCCACCATTGAACATCCTCAGCCTCTAAGGTTTCAGTTACATGGAAGACAAAGACATTCTAGTGATGTTTTATACAACAGTGTCTATACATGTGTGTGTGTTAGTCTCCCCTACTGGGCTTCTTACATGGGTTTTGAGACTGGAACTCAAATGGGCAGGCTTGCACAGTTAACTTTTACCCAGTGAATCACCTCTTGCCTTGGATGTGTTTTTGATCAGACGACAAGTTATGTTACAAATCATAGATCCTGAAAATTTTTCTAATTTGTATGGAATTGTTTTTTTTTTCCAGTTGTGTGTATGTGTATGTGTGCCTATATGTGTAAGCATGTTTGTTTTGTAGGCACTCTTATATAGGGGTGTGTATGCGTTGTAGGTGGAAGTCCCTCAGTAGCTCTTCCACCTTATTCTTTAAGGTTTCTCAATCAAACCCTGAGCTCACTGATATGGCTAGTTTTGCTAACCAGCTTGCTCTGAGGAGGCCCTGTATACACCTTCTGAAGCAGGAATAAGAGGCAGGCTCCCATGCCTACCTGGCATTTATATGAGATCCGATGACCCAGACTGTAGTCCTCAGATGAACCACTGAGCCATCATCACCCCATGCCCTGTTTGGGATTAATCAAAGTGTAGGATATTGCCTTTTTTTTTTTTTTTTCCCCTAGACAGGGTTTCTCTGTGTAGCCTTGGCTGTCCTGAACTCACTCTGTAGACCAGGCTAGCCTCGAATTTGAACATCCACCTGCCTCTGCTTCCCCAGTGCTGGGATTAAAGGTGTGTGCCACCACCGCCTGGCTAAGGATGTTGTCATTTTAAAGGCAATTCAAAGAAACATGTCCATGATTTTCTTCCTACATGTGAGACAAGGAAAATTTTTGTTTGTTTATCTTATTTCATATTCATTTCAGCCTCACATAGTAGACGTTATTTGTTCAATTTGCATGTAACTAAACTGAGACTGACATTGTAGGCTAATTTGACAAAGTTGCCAGCTAAGCGGTAGAACCAGAATCAAACTAAAGACCTGGTCCGGGGTCTTTATCCTCTCACTGGGCTCCTCAGTTTCTGCAGGCGGATCATATATGTGAAAGCACTCTAAGAATTACAGATTTGGCCGGGCGGCGGTGGCGCACACCTTTAATCCCAGCACTGGGGAGGCAGAGGCAGGTGGATCTGTGTGTTCGAGGCCAGCCTGGTCTACAGAGTGAGATCCAGGACAGGCACCAAAACTACACAGAGAAATCCTGTCTCGAAAAACAAACAAATGAAAAAATTACAGTTTTAGGAAATAAATTGCTGGTTTGTATTTTATTCAGTAGAGAACCGTTGTTTTTATCAAAGACTTTGTGACAGAGAGCCATGAGGTCCCTCCTAGCAGCACATTTAACTGTTTACCTCCTTGCTTACCCGCACTGTCCCTACCTTTCACCTTCCTTCCTTCTTTTCATTGTTGTTTGCCCAGACTGGCCTCAACTCTGTGGCTGAGGCTGGCCTTGAACTCCTGTCCTCTTGCCTTTACCTTTCCTGTGCTGAAATTACTGCTGTTCACCATGGATCCGAGGCTCTTCTTTCTGTTGTAATGAGCCTCAGGGATGTGGATATCCTAGCCCTGGGTGGTGTGGGAGTAAGTAAGTGATTAGTTCCAGGTCAGGTCGTTCATGCATCCACATGCACCCTTGCACGGCCTCACAGAGCGGGATACGCTTCCTCATCCTGTTAGTTTGAGTTTAACCATACAATTTTCTTTGGCCACTAAGATTTGGTTTGGAAGCTGGGAAAATACATATTATGCATTCACAGACAGGAAGAGCAGAGTCTTAGAAAATGTTACAATATTAAGTGTATCTGTGGAATTCATACACATGTAATTCTCCCAAACAGTAGAGAACAGGGGCAGCAAAAAGGATGTGGGTGATGCAGGGCTGTGAGACACTGGCCTCGTCACTGTCAGCGGTGCTGAGACCAGGGACTGTGAAGGGTGTGCTCTCTTTCTCGTTGGTCCTTCGGTTTGGTTTTGGCGATTGAGGATTGAACTGCAGGCACTGTGCTTGGGAGGCAGACACTGTACTACTGTGCTGTGTCCTCGGCTTGTTTCAGTTTGTGGAGACAAGGTCTAGCTGTGCCCTCAGCTGGACTTGAACTTGTGATTCTCCTGCTTTCCTCACAGATCCGGGGATGTATGGGTGAGCACCCCCTCTAGCTGCTGAAACTTGTATTTTATCTAGGCATAGATTTACCAGGTAAATGGAAATTTACATTTATCAGGATCTCAGACAGGAACGAGACAGGAGGAGTATTTCATCAGAAACAGTTGAAAGGGAATTTTCAGAGTTCTGTTATAAAGCAAGAAGAGAGAATTGGTTGTGCTGCTGCACAGCTACCCAGCTCATTAGGGATCCAGGCCCCTGGCTCACCACCTCCTTGTCGAGAGGGTCTGTGAGAGACTGAAGGACAGCTAGACCTGTGCACCAAAGTCTGATGGGTAGATCAGCTCAGCATAGTGGACCTGAAGATCCTGGGTGACAGGGGTGGGAGTGAGGGGGTATGTACAAAGGCTCTGCAGAACAGGCTGCCTTTATCCAGGAGACAGATGAGCTGATATCTGTCTCCTGGAGGCAGCCTGTACTCAACAGTGACTTTTAGACTGCTTAACCCCTGCTGTCCTTGAGCGATGAACAGCTCAGTCCTCTCATCCCCAAACAGACTTTTTGTCATTTATTGTTTGAGATGGGGTGGCTTTGTAGCCTAGGTTAGCCTCAAACTCCTGCCTTTATGCTAAGAATTCTAAGATGACAGTGTGTGCCACCATGCCTGGGGCTTTTTTCTTTTTTAAGAAAGTCTCACTGTCACCTAGTGTGGTCTTAAACTCCCAGACTCAAGCAGTCATCCCTCCTCAGCCTTTCAAGCACCTCAGCACTGTGGGGTGCCTAGTTTGTTTGGTTTTTTTATAGTGTTGTCTCGGGGCCTTGTTTTGCTAGGCAAGGACTCCACACTCAGCTATATCATCAATTATCAGCCCTGTAATCTAATTTTTAAGCAAGTTCCCAACAATATCAGAGGTGAGGCCTGGAGGCTGGAGAGATGACTCAGCAGTTAAGAGCATTGGCTGCTCTTCCATAGGATCCAGGTTCAATTCCTAGCACCTACATGGCTCCTCACAGCTGTCTATTATAGCTGGAAGTTTTCCTGTGTCCTGCAGCCGCTTGGTCCCAAATAAACACACAGAGGCTTAATATTAGTTACAAACTGTTTGGCCTATGGCTCAAGCTTATCATTAACTAGCTTTTACAACCTACTTCAACCCATTTCTATTAATCTTAAGTTTTGCCACGTGGCTTTGTGGCGTACCTGTGTTCCCCATTACATCTTGCTCTTCCAGCAGTGCTCAGCGTCTCCTCCCACTCCCCCTTTCTTCTCTTTGTCTCTCCCTTGGATTCCCCTCCTGGCTCAATTCTGCCTTGCCATAGGCCATAGCAGCTTCTTTATTAACCAATGGTAGCAGCACATATTCCTAGGTACAGAAAGACCATCCCACAGTAATCTAACTCCAGGTCCAGGTGATCTGACATTCTCTTCTGGCCTCTACAAGCACTGCATGCATGTAGTACACAGACTTACATGCAGACTAAACATCCATACTCATAAGATTTAAAAAAAAAAAAATGAAGCCTGGGGCTTTCCTGCTGACACTGACCCCTGTGGGAAGTCACTTCTGGGGTGAATTTACACTAGGACTTCAGAGTGTGTGTGGGCTTGGTTTTGGTTTTCAGACAGGCTCTTCCCATGTAACCCAGTCTAAAACCATCTGAGTTCCGGGACTACATGTGTGTACTGTCACCCCTAACTTGTTTTTCTGTTTTGTTTTGTTTTGGAACAGGGTTTCTCTGTGTAGCCCTGGCTGTTCTGGAACTTGCTTTGTAGACCAGGCTGACCTAGAACTCAGAGATCTGCCTGCCTCTGCCTCCCAAGTGCTGGGACTGAAGACATGTGCCACCACTGCCTGGCTTTTTTTTTTTTAATTGAAAAAATAAAACAAAGAAGAACTATATATCAGGTAAAAAAGGGAATAAAGTCAGGCATGGCGGCTTACATCTGTCATCCTAGCACTTAGGAGG